ACTTATTAAATACTAATAAAAAGTTTATATTAAATATATATAATTATACTGCCTCTAGGGGTATAGCGGCATTGGCAGGGATCCTGGAGGTAAGTCATTGAGGTCTCACTTTCGAACCGCACTCCAGATTTGAATGGTGCGTGTGTTATGAGGCCGATACATTTGTTCTAATAATATATACATAATTATATTATATATTAGTGTAAATTATTTTTCATTTAATAAAAATATATTTTTAATATATAATATATTATATTAGTGTAAATTATTTTTTATTTAATAAAAATATATTTTTAATGTATAATATATTATATAATAGTGTAAATTATTTTTTGGGACATATATATATATATATTTAATATTTTTTTATATTATATACCGTTTTTATATTATTATATACTATATTTATATTATATTATATGTAAATATTAGATTATAAGATATATTATTAACATGTTTTTATAATATACTATATGTTATATATATAATATATCTTATAATAAATATATGTATAATGCATATACATGCACTTATATACTGTAATGACCCGATCATTTTCCTTCCTTTCTTTTTTTTCGGTGATTTCTTTTTTTCGTCTTTTTCTCGTTTACCATTTTTCCTTGCATAACCTCACTTTTTGTGCTCGGATTTAATTCTAACTTTTCATACATCCATGATATTTGATTTCCATGATATCTACATTTTCATTTTTGTAGAAAACCATGTTAAATGTTTACTTTTCTTGTAGAGGGCATGGATGCATAACTTTTTGGTAATTTTCATAACTTGAGGGGTTTTTGTGCAATTAAATAAAGTAATTATTTTTCGTCTTAGGGACCATTTTGCAACTTAATTTGGAAGATATTTTCAAAAATGACCTTTTTGCAATTTTCGAAAAATGTGACAAGTGTCACATTCTCATGGTACCACTTGTTGGCTTTGAGGTGGAAAGACTTGGAAGCATAATCTTGTGACACATGGAGGGTGGAGAATCACCCATTTGTTGGCCTAGGATTGGACCACATGTTGGCTTGGATGGTTGACAAGTATAGGCTAGGGATTTAGCCTAGGAAGGAGCCTTAGATGAATGACAAGTGTAGGACTCACCTTTAGTCCTGCAAGTGTGTGTGTGTGTGTGAGGTAGTGCAAAAGCACCTAGTGAGTGGAGAATCCCACCACTTTTAATTTAGGGTTTTCACATTTCATTTCACACTTTAGATCATTCATCTCTTTCCTTTCAAAAACCCTAAACTAGCCACCATTGAAGACAAGTTTGGTTTAAGGCTTTGATTTCATTTTTAATCTCCTTCCACTCACCTTAGATCATTGAGCTTGGGATACAAAAGCCTTACCTCATCTTCCTCTTCATAACCCTAGAAGGAAAACTTGAAATTCCTTTGCTTCCTTTGGATTCGAGAGGAACAATCCTCTTGTGAGGTAGGGGGTGTTCTAAGTTATGTTCTTTAATGTTTTATGTGTTTTATAACATGATTCATATGTATTACATGTCTTTGATTTAAGATTTGAAGATAATAATTAATGGTACCTTGCATGAAATTAAGCTAAGACATGATTTTAGGAAAGGCCATGACTTGATTTGTAACCTATGTTAATTTGAAATCATTTTGGGTTGTTTTGAAATCTAGAGGGATTTATAAATTAATTTAATTAATTTTTATTCATATGTTTCCATGAATTAAACTAGGTTTTGAAGGAATATATATAATGATCATGATAAGTTCTTCAACATATATTAAATTGATCATGCTTAGATGAGAAATGAAATCTAGAAAAATTGGTTATCCTGTTAAATTTGTTTCTATTCTTGTTGTGTTAATGAGTTGAGTATGAATTTCATGTTGATTACATGTCTACGTCTTGATTTTAAACTTATGTAATACTGGTGAGGTTATGTCCCTATTATTGAATAATATTGTTATGAAGTATGATAAGTTGCATAATGATTATTCAACAATTTGCATGCCATTGTAGTTGTGAACTAGAGCATGTATTGTGTTTCCAAAATTGGTTTGTGCATGGTAGATGGTTTTACATTGTATATATATATGTCATGTTTATACATATATGTTGTTGCACAAAATGTTGATTTTGGAAACTTGGGGATGTCGTTATTATGACTACGGCTAGGGCATGGTTCTAGTACGGGGGAATGTCCCTCTACAAGTCTAGTGTACGCATAGGGAGGTTACCCATGGGCTAGTAACGCTAAAGTAACCATGGTGTCGGCTTGATCTGGCGTGATGTCCAAGTATCCACTTTGGTTTGATTTCGCATTTAAATTCCAACTTGATAACCTTGTGATATTGCATCTAATTGTGCTATGTTAAAAGTTCCAATGTCATTATAATAACATGGACTAAATCCTATTGAATTACAAACTTTGTAATTAAGTTAAATGAATGCATGCTCATTCCCTACGAGTAAACTTGTTTACTCACCCCTAAGTTACTGGGTGTTTTTTAGGTAAAGAATCATTACTTTGGGATGCACAATATCCCTAGACATGGCTTGGTTGCATTGGACTATCTTTTGTGTAACTTTGTATGCATGCACTTATTTAGCATGCCCCTTTTAATTCTCTTTGTAAACCATGGATGTATGGTATATTGAACTTGTTTAATTTCCTTGGAAATGTGTAATATGTATATTTGGATCATTTTTGAAGAGGAAAATGGAATTGGGACTTGTGATCTTCTTGGTTGAGTCCCAATGTCATTTTCACCTTAGTTTCATCTTTTGTATAACTTTGGATCACATGTGATGAGGCCTTAAAGCCATCTTTTGCTTAATCATTTTTTGTTGATTAAAATCACTCTTAAGTAGGTTGCACACCCTTAAAACTGATGTTTCCCCTTAACTAGTTTCCGCATTTTGGGGTTCCGGTCCATGCCACTGCTGCATTTAGCGGGCCTTCGTAGCATTTTGGCGGGCGCCCACGGGGTTCTACCACATTTGGCCGACCCTCGCAGCATTTGGCGGGCGCCTGCGGTGACCTGTTCCTGCACGAGACACCTTTCTTCAAAGGGCTTAAACACTATTTTGCAATTTCTCGAATTATGGTTTTGGACTTTGATTACTAAACTGTTAATTAGATTCTGTAGTTAATATGGATATGGTGGATTGTATGCACCGGTATGGGACGTTGGCATACTAGGGATGGTTTAACTCGAAATACTAAGACCTAACCTATCAGAACAAAGAAATGGATTGTAAAATATTGAATCCTAATTATGTAAGTCAGATCAACTGACTAAGTTGAATGACTTCTTGGATTGGTTGTTTGTAGTTAAGTCATATCAACTGAATAAGTTGAGTGATTAACTGAATTATCAATCGTATGTCAAATCAATGAATAATTGAATAACATACTCTGGTTTTGGACGGACTTTAGGTATATGATTATGGTACCACGGTGTGAGCTTAAGTCTCATAGTCATTGGTTAGGGTGCGTATATGCAGTGGATGCGTAGCTGGCTATGATAGGTTGAGGTGTACCTTGTTAGATCTAGGTACTCATGCCCACCTTCGGGTGCATTTTTGCATGTTGCCTTCTATTTGGGTTGAGACCCCTTTTGTAGTCCAGTGAATGTCCTTAGTGTGGATATATATATATATATGGACTAAATAGTTATTATTGAGTTGTCTAGGATGTATCTGCATATCGGATCTCTGTTTGGATTGTAGTTAGGATAGAACTTGTTCGTGAGCCTGACCCACTATTATTTTTCAAGTAACAGACGGTTGCAGGTCTTAGAGCTTGTTCGTGCTGAGCAGAGACGGCTACTCATTCTTCCAACGACGTAGGAGTTTTCTTCATGATTTAGCATTGGAAATCTTCAGTTGTTGATTTCAGCGTTGGAGTTTTATTAGGGGTCTACCAGATGGATTTTCGAGTTGTATAGGAAATGAAGAAGTTGAATATATCAGAATAGTTTCTTATTTATAAAATTTATTCTGAGGTTTCATTTTTTTGGATTATTATTTTAATTTTCTTTCAGCAAATTATTTATTCCTATTTATTCTTTTGTACTCTGTGTTCGTTTATTACTGATTGGTTTGATATTCTCGAGTAATCGGGCGTGGGCCTAGCCAACCAGCATCCGGAAATCCGGGGGTATCACACCTAGGTCATTCAGGTTGCATTTGTTGGGCCTATAGATAAAGTGAGTGGGGGGGTCCCTTTATGGATCATGATGCCCTATTCCTTTCTTTTTCGGCTCTACCGCCAGGTGTATGTACCTCCTTGAATGAGCTAACTAGAGGGTGGTTGTAAGGATTTCTGCGCTTACTCCAGCCTGCCTTTCGCGTTTTCTCCTTGAATTGGGTCTTGCCTTAGCAATACTTAACTAGTTTTTCATCCTCCATTCTAAGGTCCCTTCTGCATTCCCACTAGCCTCAAAGAGTCCTACCATTACTCTTTGCTGCTTGTTTCCTTGATAGGATGTGGCCTAATCGGATCGAGATTCATGGTTCATCGATCGACAATTTGTGGTTTAGTAGGATCGAGGTTCAAGACTCATCGATCGACAATGGCTCGGTCCGATCGAGGTTCAAGGCCATCGATCGACATAGTGGCTCGGTCGGATCGAGGTTCAAGATCTATCGATCGACAGTTTGTGGCTCGATTGGATTGAGGTTCAAGTCACATCGATAAATAGTTCGTGGCTTAGTCAGATCCAGGTTCAAAACCAATCAATCGACAGTCTGTGGTTTGGTCGGATTGAGATTCAAGACCTATTGATCGACAATTTGTGACTTGGTTGGATTGAGATCCATCGATCGACAATTTGTGAGCCCATGCTTTATGGGTACATCGATTGGTTGCCGTTGCTTTTGCTGAGCTGGCTGGGGCTCTTTGTCTATATCGACTAAGTGATGACCACTTTTGTCATCTTGTTATTTGTTTTGAAGCTGGCACTGGCACATTTCATGTCCACAAAGACTTTCAGTTGACTTCAATGCATTTAAATCTCAGTACTCTTGCCGAGTTTTACACACTGACAGTACTCTAGGCCTCCGTTTACATGAGCTGAGAGACCAAAATTGTGCTGGGTTTGGGTTCATCTCATTTCTCCGTGTTTGTTATTTATAAGGGTAATTAACCTAGCTAGTTTTATTATGTTTGTTTAGCACTCGATTCGGTTCTTCTAGTTCTAAGGATTGATGAGCAAGTTGAAGTAGTAATGAAATTGACCAGCAGGTTCTTGCTTTTGTTTTGACAGCAGAGTGATCCACTCAATATGGGTAGGAGTTGGTCGTCATATCTCCGTCAAAGGAGGACTGGTTTGAAACATTTGCTTTGCGACTGTATTATCTCTTTACCGCGTGCCTCATTTATCTTTGGTATTCTACTACTCAGTATTTTTTTTATGGACATTGTAATATATTACAAACAGAGTTTTTATTTTTATTTTTCTGGTGGCAAGCTAGCTGGTTTGCTCATTTAATCTTAGTTGTAATGTGCTTTCTTTTTCTAGGTATGATTTTCAGCCGTGCCTTCGTTGAATATTCGGTGATTAATTTGTTGATAAACTATCTGACACGTTGGTGGGCGAGGCCAAATCTTTCAAAAGCCACAGCGGTTGTAAATATGCAAGATGGTTTATCATCAATTCAGGTGATTTTTCTTGCTTACATATCACATGTCTGGATTGGACGTTTTCGAATGGTCGCGCTCACCACTCCGCTTTATATCATTGTAAGTTTCTTCTTGGTTCAAGGTACTCAACATTTTTGCTGCTTTTATTATTAATATTAATATTAATATAAGAATATTGGTAATCACTTTTTTATTTTTTATTTTTTATTTATTTTTTGGGTATGTGAGGCTCATTAATTTTTTTTTTTTCATTATTCTTTAGATCTATTAGGAGAATTACTTTTAATGTTAAGTAGTGGTATTAATTTGATTTAGGCCTTACAATTCGGTTACATAATTATAAGTAAAGAATTCACAGTTCATGAATCGATTAATAGATTAAGGTTTTATAAAATTGATTGGATCTTTGATCCATTCAAATTTATAACATATATATATATATATTAATTATACACGATTTCAGTATATTATTGTTTGTTATGACTCGAACATTTATGTTTTACACTGTGAACAACCTTATTATTGCTTGTTGGGAAAAGCTCAATCCCAATTAATCCGATCTAATTAAATTCGTAAAGTGAAGCGATTGGATTCAATTTTCATTCGATGCATAGGGATAGGATTGGATTAGATTTAATTTTAATACCAAATTTAATCCAATTTGTGGTTATCTCTAATGTTGGGTCATAGTTATAGAGGTAGTCGCCAACATAGATGTGAGTCTGTATGATGAAATCGGTTATTGTGATTATGAATTTTTTAACCTCCCACATAGTCCAATTCAAATACATTTACCACATAATTTAGTGAATAAGATTTTTTTGTGATATTTATTGGATTATTGAAAACTATTTAACTCAACTAGTTACCTATTTTTGAATTCTAAGCCTCATTGTCATTAATTAGGCTTAGTAAATTATATATATTTTTTATTATATTATTGAATAATAAAAAAATTAAGCATGAAATAAATAAAATTTGCATATGGGATAAGGGAAATAGAAACTAAACAAAAAAACAAAAAATGAAATTAAAATAAATTAAGAGAACTATAATACAAATCATAAGTGCCAAAAAAAATTATGAGTCATGATATTAATATTATAACTTACTTCTCCTGTTCCAAAGTAGATATTAATATTATAACTTACTCCTTCGATTCCAAAATACCTAATTATTTTGAGATCGGAGGGAGTATTAAATTAACTTGCAATGCAACTTTTCGGAACTACAAAATGAAACTACAATTGACAATCATTAGTAAAGGACTCAGTCCTCATCCTTGTTGAGGCATTTTTAAAAGAGTTAAAGTGCAAAAAATGTGCAAAAAAAACTCCATGTTTAATTTGTGCAAATAAAAACATTATGTCAATTTAACTATTAAAATATCTAAAATACCCAATAAAAAATAGTAATAAATAAGCAAAATGCTTTATCTTTCCTGTTTCACAACGAAACCCGGCCGTAAATGGGTGTAAACGGAGTGAACGACCGTAGCGACTGTAGGAGTCGCGATTCCGGCGAGCACGGATCGGCTGTGAGAAAACAAGTGACCGGCGATGAACGGTGGGCTTGGGCTGATGGCGGTGCGCCGGTGATGAACTTGAGAGCAAGGAGTACTGCTTGGCGGTAACGGAGAAATCGCACCAGCAACGAGCAAGGAGTACTCGGCGAGAAGTGCGTCTTCTGAATTGAACCGGCGACGATGCAAGGAGGTTTGAACTTACCGGTGGGCAATGATGACCTGCACGAAGCTTTGAGAAAACAAGGCCTGGGGTGATGCATAGAGCTTCCATGTCAGTGAGATATTTATATCATCTTAAGAAGCTGCCTCCATGGCAATAGACCAGACCAAGAAATCATTGATACTGGTAAATACCAATCAGGCCATTTAAAGTCATGAATCCCATGATACACCTACATTGAAATAACAGGCCGCCGTACAAAAAGTAGCAAGGGTTCAAAAAGTAGAAATCAAAGATTTTATTTATTTTTACATAGGAGTAATAATAATACAATACTTTTACATAATATCATCTCCACAATTCACTGAAAATCAAATGTCCCGAAGCCAACAAACATATCCAAGGGTCCAAAGTAGCTAAGAGTGAGTAGATTCTTCATAAAAAAAATAATAAAAAAAAAGAAAAAAGAAAAAAAAAAAAAAGAGAGAAAAAACAAGTAAAATTTTGGTGCTGGCGATGGTGTTAAAGCTTGGTGATTGAGCACTGTTTTCAGTTAAATTTGCTCTACTTGGGAGTTAGCAATGAGATAAATGCTCCCCTGATTTCCCTTGTAGAACCAGTTGGTTCCATGTCTAACCGGAGTCCTTAGATGAATATATAAATATATATATATAAACTTATTTCAGATAATTTTTTAATTTGAACTGGGCGGTGCTCGCCGGAAATGATATTCGCCGGCACCTTGATGAGTGGACAGTTTTGAAGAGAAAAGATAGAGAGAAAAAAATAAAATAAAATTCTTACATTAGCATGAGGGTATTTTGGAATTTTAATTTTAAAAAAATTGGTCAAAATGGATGATTATGGGACAATTTGCTCAAAAAATAAATAATACATATAGCTATATGCATTTTTTTTTTTAAGTAAGATTTCTTGCACATCTTGTGTGTATATATATATATACTGAGGGATTTTTTTGCACTTAATCCTTTTTAAAAGCTAAAAATATGACTTACTAAGTTAATTAGTACATAGAAAAAATATAGGATAATTGATAATTGAGCCGTTTTTATTGTTCGAAATGAGAGGACAGTCATGTTGAGATGCCATGTGATTGGTTCATTGCTTAGACAATTTGTAGTACATACATAAACATAGTTGATTAAGAAAACACGAAAGTTTTCTATATTTTTTTATTTATTTTTCTCGCTAAAAATTGGATGTCTCTCACATTCTATGCTTTTTTATAATTGAGTTTTTATAATATATTTTTTATAAAACTAAGTAGATTTTTTTGGTACAATTTTCACTTTTTAGAACTAAAAACCGAAAACTGTTATCAGAATTATAAATTAAGCAAACCCTAATTTACTTGCATTTATTTTTGTTTTATGAGTTGTTAGTTTAGTGCATTTATTTTTATTTTATGGGCTTTACTTTTATTTTGATAAATGTATTTTAAATAAAAATTTAAGTAAAACATCACGTCACACTTATTCACCACTCAATGTATTTTTAAATTAAATTTTACAACCTATTTGGCAGGACGCAACTCATAATTTTGATCAGCTGTCTGCTTTAAAGTTGAAATTATAAGTTAAAGTGAAATGGTGAATACTCGAAGTCAAAATTTAACTGTTTTATTTGCTTTACCTTTTAAAATAATAAGAAGAAGAATAATTTTTTATAAATGTTTGGTCAATTAGCATCTTTAGAACAACTAAAACAAATATGGAATAAATATTGATCGGATGAATTTATTATTTTAAATGCACACACTCCTGATAATACTAATTGGATACTTGATATACTTTAGGAGTAATATTTTTTTGGCCGTTGTATCTCATGTAATGGGCACATTCAATCATTCATTATTTACACGCGTAGACATATGTATTATATGAATGGTCTGAATACAACAGGCGCAAATAAATTTTTTTGCTCTTTTAAAAACTAAAATTTAGCCATTCTTGGCGGTTAGCATTGTTAACTCTGAACTTGCTAGCTTCATGAATAGGAGCACATATTTAGTACTCCAACAAGCAATTAATTAAGATGGCATCTTCATTTAATTAGCTTCCTCCATTTTTGCATGCAGGGATTGGTGGTACTATGGCTTCGAGATCGGAAACTAACTGAAAGTAGGCTGTTCTATGTGGCACTGCTGCTAATAGCTTTGGGTACTGCAGGACTCGAAACGCCTCTATTTCAATATTTTGTTGATGAGATAAAAAAGAGTGAGTCTAAGAAGCGCCGTAGAGATGAGGAATTAAGGAATATGTCTAGAAAAACAAAAATAGATGAGGGAGGGGATATGCAGGAAAAAAAAAAAATGGATGAGGAAGATGATATGCCCGAAGAAAAAGATGTGGAAGCCATCGTCGAAGTCTGGTGGCGCATGGCGCGATTTTCAGGAGCTACCTTATCTACATTTACGCTTTCAAAATATAATTATTCGTGGGCATATGCGTTCAAGGTGTCAGCAATTACCATGGGCATAGCATATGTACTGTTCTGCTTTGGTTTTTTCCTATTTCAATGGTTAGACAACAAAGCTGCTATTGCGGAGTCTGGAAAACAAGAAAAAAGTAAAAGCGAGGTTTCCACGTTGAATAAGGAAAAAAAAGTTTTATTAAGAATGATACCTATATGGTTAACCTTCCTTGTGTACAGTCTGGTGGGGACAACCGGGACTACTTTCTTCATTGAGCAAGCTACCAACTTGAATTATGAAATTGGGAATGGATACAATGTTTCAGAAAACATTTTCTTTTTGTTCAAGTCCTTCTCAAGCTTCATTTTTGCTCATCTGTGCAACTTACTAATCGAAAAGTTCCGCGATAGACGAACACAACATCATTTTACGCTCTTGAGAATTGGTTTGGGGATGGTGAGTTGCATATTATGTTGCATCACTGCAATGCAGGTTGAGATTCGGAGGTTGCATTTAGTTACGGAAGACGGATTGGAAGACAACACAGTGGATACTATTTCTATGAGCATTATGTGGTTAACTCCACAGTACTGCTTGTTGGGAGTTATGGAAGGACTTGCCGGAGAAGGGCTCCAAACAATTTTCAAAAGTCAAGTTGCCGATAAGAAACCTGAATATAGAAGCTACGGTCAGGCGTTCACCGACTGTGTATTGGGCATTGGGAAATTCATTAGCATAGGCTGTGTCTTCAGTTTCAAAATCTGGTTCGGAGGCAATGTAAATAGGAGCCGTTTGGATCGCTATTACAAAATGTTGAGTTTTCTGTGTGTTGGCAACCTATTGTTCTACATTTGCGTTTCAATCTGGTATTATTGGAATAAAGTTCCAGCGGGAAAAGAAGAAGACTCAAACTCAAAAGAGGAGAACGGATGTTTAGACAGCTTTGTAGATGCTTGTACACAAGCTTTTAGTTAATGGAACCTTGTGCAATCCATGGTTATCATAAAGTTGTGAGGGTGTTCCATACATTCTGTATAATTATGGTGACTTCGGGTGTTTAATGTATTTTGTTGTTTGGTTAAAAAAAACGGAACTTATCTAGCCACTGCATTGTTAAAATTTACCTACAAAACAAAAGAAAATGGCAATAATTGCAGTGTCCTGTTCAAAGGCACACCAAATTAGCTGTACCATTTGTTTTATTTTATACTGGGTGTTTTCGATCATACAAAGCCAATACAATTACCACAAGTGCCTTCGTCACATCATGTCACTTCATTTTTCTTTCCTAATCCTCAGCCACAATCTTATCAAACACTAGATGAAATTTATATATAGTTACATCAATCACAACAACTGATATTGAGTCTGCTGCCTATTTCATTCACAAAAGATAGACGACTTTCTCCCAACAAATGAAAAGGATAGACAACGCAGACTCCACCGCCCATTGACGATATGATGTCAGTCACCGTTCATGCATGCTAAGGCATCATCTCACTTACACTTACATATATATATATATATATATATAATTTGTGTATTGATATATCTCGACCCAATATAAAATATATTTGGTTAAAAAAATAAATAAATAAATACGTGAGTCTGAGTTTAATCACATGATGTTGTTCAACTTCCTTTATAATAAATTGTTATTGACTATCACAATTTCTGTTCAGATTTAAAATCTAATGAATCAAACAAATTTTGATTTAACATAACTACAACGATTATTGTGATTATGATTTTTATTTTTAATTTGGCACAAAAAGTTCAAAATGTCTTAGACATACAATTTTTTGCAACATAATTCATTAAAAATATTTTTTTTGTGAATTTTACTAATTTTTATCAATTTTTTAAGAACCATTTAAAAAAAATTTTAAAAATTACAAAAAGACTTGAATTTTTTGACACTGTCATATAAAAAAATCTAATTACTTTTTTACTAAATTAATAAATAAACAAAAAAAATTAAACATGAAATAAATAAAAATAGATACAAAAGAAAAGAAAAAAAATTTAAAGGAGGCAAGTATTGTTATATGTTTATCCTGTACAACCTGCTTTAAAAACAAAGAACAAACTCCTTTCGGTTAACCTGTTTTTCCTCTAAAATCTGTTTGAATTGATTAGCCTTCTTAACATAAACTGTGTCAAAGCTCATCATCCTTCATTTCACAAAATGTTGGGCTATCAAATAATTTTGAGTCGGAGGCTTTAAAGAATGCATTTGCAAATGCCAAAACAACCCAATGTAATGTTAGGCAAATTATCACAAAAAGAGAGGTACTATAAATGTTTTTATCATAACCTAACAATCAATATTAATTTAAGGATACTACTTAATGTAAAAATAATTTTTAAAAAAAGATAAAATTAAAGGGGATAATTCCATAAAAATGGGGTTTGGGGGGTCAAAGGACAAAATAATGGAATCAAAATCAAGTTTTCCAAATTAATGGAATTTTATGTAAGTCTGACGTAGAAATGAAAATTTTCTATACATTATTTTTTTATTTCCAAAATAACATTATATTATTGTTATGAAATTATGCTACTAAGTACTAACCCTCTCATATCTATAGAGAGAAGAGAAACACATCTATGCCAATTGTCTCAAACTCTCCTTCTCCAGCAGCTCCTCTTTCCTCAAACTCCCTGAAACACACCGTCAAAATCACCATAAAAAGAATGAAGTCAAAATCCACTTTTTTGTTCATTTTCTTTATAAATCATCAGTTCTTAATGTAATTTCCTTTCTAACATTGATTTTCCCCTCTATTTTACTTATTTATTTTTATATATCTATATACTGTGAAGATCATGAATGATGATAGAGAATAGAGAGAATCAAAGACTGTAATATTTATTAGTGTCGGTTTAAATGGCAATTTTATTTGTTTAGTAAATTTATTTTAATAATTGTGAAACTTCATTATTTTAATAAAAAAATTGCATCATTTGTGTAGGCAAAACTTCATTATTTATTATTTTGGCAAGAAGTTCAAGCACTGCTTCTCTCTATAACTTTTTATTATTATCTTTTTCTTTTTACAACGTGTATAACTATAACAGAGGCAAAAGTGAATTATTTTTATAATTTCAGGAGAGGATAATATTAAAATTTCATAAGTATATAATTAAAAAAGTTAAGAATTATTAGTATTTAATGCTTAAAAAAAATTCAGGGGGTACAAAACCCCCTAGATCCTCTTTCAGGTCCGTGCCTGACTATAAATAATTACACCTCAAAGGAATGTTTTTTTTTATATTAAACGGTAAGCTACCTCAAAGGAATGTTGTGATGATAAAAAATTGGAATACTGGTGGGACTCAATTCGAACACTGTTTTAATTGTCGTAAAATTTGAATTTTTTTCTTAATTGAATAAATAAAGATACGTCAAAAAACGTTTAGAACATGGTGGATTTGTAATTATTTTTTTATTTTAAAATATATTATGAGTTAATTAAAAAAATTTAAATTTTAGAAAACAAAAAAATAAAATCTAGAACTAAGTTTAATATTAAGGATTTTATTCATAATAATGTGTATAAAATAAGCAAAGATAATATATAAATATTGGGACAATGCTTGGATCCTCCATCTAGGAGAATGAAGTTCATCCTCCATTGGATGTGGTCCAATGTCATTGGAACATGTATCTAAAAAATTAAAATTAAAGATGGACATTACCCATTTTTTACTGATTAAATAGTGTTTCTTATCTTATTTTTTTTTCTTCTTTCCTTCTTAAACATGATCAGATACGGGCCGACTCTCCTCTATCTACCCTTCTCTTTCCACGGCAAAACAATTCTCTCTTTTTCTTCTTCTTCTATTGATCTCAATTAACAAAACAAAGAAAAAAAAAACAAAAACTCAAAACTTTGTAGTGTTAGAAATAAGAGTATTGATGTGTAAGATATGTAAGATTTGTAGGATTTATATAGGAGAGGTAATGTGTGGACAGTAAGTCATTACTATATAAGGTAATAATATATTATACAATATATTATAACAGCCCCTCAAACTCAAGCCGGGTTATATGAAGTTGTCTTGAGTTTGGAAACAAGATCTTTGAAGCGGCCTGGCGTAAGCGATTTGGTGAAGACATCTGTTATCTGATCATGAGAAGTAATGGACCGCAACTGTAAGGTTTTCTAGGTTATGTGAAGTTATCTTGAGTTTTGAAACAAGATCTTTGAAGCGGCCTGGTGCAAGCAATTTGGTGAAGACATCTATTATCTGATCATGAAAAGTAATGGACTACAACTGTAAGGTCTTCTGAAAAGATGATGACGAACAAAATGGCAATCAATCTCAATGTGTTTGGTACGCTTGTGAAAAACATCATTGTGCGCAATTTGAATTGCACTATTATTATCACAATAGATAGGCAAATCAACCAGATCCCATGTCTGAGTTTTGGATAATGCATCTAACTCCTCTCTTATTACTTGCTGCCACAAAGGGTTCTAAGATGCCTCACAAAAAGTGTGAATTCATGTAAAGTTGCAAGGGTATTATAACAATGGAAATCATTAAGATGTGCAGGTGGAGCTCTTACCTGAGTAGAATGTGTTGTGGAAATTTTACATATTTTATAAAATAACACAAATACAATAAATCAACTCAACATTACACAATGAAACAAAATAATAAATAATTTATTACTGAATAATTTTGAATAATACATTAATAATACTTTGCAATTCTTTCAATAAAATGAATACAACAATATGAATAAGGATTTAACAATATAATAATTCTGCAATAGGAAACTAATATAATAATAGAAATTATGAAATGAAAATAATATTAAAATAGGTAAGAAAGTGCTGGCCTGATTGTTGAGGCATGTGTACACACATTGACCTAAAGTTAATTGCCCTCCCCTTCGTGCGAGTATTGGTAAAACTAGACAGCTCCAACATACAACCCAATCAGCTCGCAGCGGCGTCTCCTCCATATGTATGACCACATGAAGACTAAGTCCAAGTTTATATAAGTCTAGTTGCTCATAAACTCAATATTCAAATAACTTTCAAGGAAAAGATGAAATAGGCTCACAACCTTACAAAAGTGTCTCCAAGTCATTCTATAGATGCTTTATATATATAATATATATAGGGAGTAAAATATGTAACCGCCGCTAAGGTATAATAATGATAAAAAAAACTATAATTGAAATAATATACACCATAAGTATAATTTAATTAGTAGAATAAAACTCCATTAAACCATAATTAATATAATTTAATTATATTTTTATTAAAATATTCCCAACAATCCCCACCTATTTTAATTAAAATAAATAAGTAAAATATTATTGAGCAACTTTATACTATGCAATCGGTGTAAGTGTTTTCCAGGCTTAAACCTACACTTAGTGTGATAATTTCCATTTGAGGAACCTGAATGAACTAAGCCTTGAATTCGGTCCCTTGAGCTAAACTTTAACATATCACACACATAGTATTGACGATAAACTTGGTTTGGCGAGTTAACGCAATTAATTGCCATGCGCTGATATCTTGATTCTCATGAAAGCTCTAGGGAACAGCCCAACTCCCACAGTCACGGTCTCACGACGACTTTCACTTAGGCGAATCTTCTAAAGGTATATATGACCTATACCCGTAAGAGTATGCTCACCTCGAATTCATTCAGGGCAAAACCCTTCCTTAACATCACATCACAACATGGATGCCATAGGGATGTACAAGAAAGAATCTCCTCGAGAAACCTCCTAAAAAGAGTGTTGTCAATGAGTTACGCATTACAAATTATTTCTACCCATTGAACCTTTCGTCATGTAATATAAATCGCCAATCAAAAGGTTGGGTTACTTCCGTAAGTGACTCCCTTGGGGCTTAAGCCCATCCCCCTCGACATACATAGGACTATGTCCTCAGAAAACACTTGGCCTTTTTAGCTTTCTTTTTTTTCTTTCACAACCCAACTCTCGCGTTTTTCTTTCTTTCTCCTCATTTTCTTTCTTGCTCTCATTTTTTTTTTTTTTTCATTCACCCCGCCATTTTCTTCTCTTTCTCTCTCGACTTTTTTCCTCCACAAAATAATTCATCACTGAT